ACACACACACACACACACACTGACACACACACACACATACACACACACGCTGGCACTCACATACTGACACACGTACACGCACATACACCGGCACACACACACACACACACTGGCACACACACACACATACGCTGGCACACACATACGTACGCTGGCACACACACAGACTGACACACGTACACGCACATACACCGGCACACACACACACACACACACTGACACACACACACACACACACATACGCTGGCACTCACATACTGACACACGTACACGCACATACACCGGCACACACACACACACACACACACACTGGCACACACATACGCTGGCACACACATATGTACACTGGCACACACACAGACTGACACACGTACACGCACATACACCGGCACACACACACTGGCACACACACACACTGACACGCACACACACACATACACTGGCACACACTGACACACACACACACTCACACACACATACACTGGCACACACTGACACAGACACACACACACACTGACACACACACACTGACACACACACACATACACTGGCACATACTGACACACACACACACTCACACACACACTGACACACACATACTGACACACACACTGACACACACACTGACACACACACACACTGACAACACACTGACACACACAAACATACGCTGACACACACACACATACACTGACACACACACACACACATACACTGACACAACAACAACAACAGCAACAAGATTTCATTTATAGAGCGCCTTTCACGTCGGGAGGACGTCCAGTTGGGTCGGGACCCGAGCATTGGGGGGGAGTGGGGAGGGGAGAGAAGGGAAGGGAGGGAGCGAGGAGGGGGTAGAGAGTCGAGAGCAGAGCTGAAGGCTCGGTCAAAGAGAAAGGTCTTGAGACCGGCCTTGAAGGAGGAAAGGGAGGAAGCGGACACACACACACACTGACACACACACACTGACGCACACACACACAGAATAAAGTGTAGTGACTGTATTTTGTGGGTGAAACATGGCAGCCAGTTTGCGCACAGCAATCTTATAATTTTATTCGGGGGGATTGGTGGCCAGGACACCGGGAGAGAGAGAGAGAGAGAGAGAGAGAGAGAAACTCCCTTCTCTTCTGTCCTTCAGATGAGACGTTAAACTGGGACCTCGGTTTAACGCCTCATGTGAAGGACGGGACCTCCGACAAAGCGACAACCCCCAGCACTGGACTGGAGCGTCAGCTTAGACTGTGAGATTCCAAGTCCGACCAGTCACTGGGTGGGGGGGGGGCAGGGAATCCTCCCCCTCAGCTCCTGTTAACCCCGCAGCCAAAGCACTAACTAACTAACTAACTAACTAGCGGGGAGGGGGGTCCTCGGCCGGACAAGCAGCGGGAAAGCTTGGCCAGACAGCGCTCTCGATGGCCGAGCTGTGTGTGGGTTCAGCTGGTTAGACTCCAGCAGTTACCCCCAACGCACACTCTGTGCTTCCCCCCCCCCGCCCTCCCTCCCTCCCCAACCTGCGCGGGGGGGCGTCCCTCCAGGGAGAGAGAGAGAGAGAGAGAGAGAGAGAGAGAGCGCATTCCATTCCACCCATCTATCTCTGGGATCTCCACGTGGAGGTGGGAGGGCGGGGAATTCTCCGCTGAGGTTTGGAGACTCTCAAGCGACGGTGATGGGCTTCCGCCCGTGTCGGACACCCGGCTCTGGGCAGGAAAAAAAAGACTTGAACACACAATGAAGGTCCAGTCTGGTGAGAGACAACCCACCCACCCCCCACCACCCCACTTTCCCGGGGGGGGGGGGGGGGGCAAATCAGGTCAACTCCCCCATCCCAATTCTCTCTGAAAAAGCAAAGACTCTCCGACCGCAGATACCACAACCCCCCCCCCCCCCACCCCACCACCACAAGCAACCATCTCCATCGCCTCGTCCTCTCGCCCCACCCCCACCTACACGACGAGGGTATAATTGCAATGCACCTGGCCCCGGAGGAGATGAAAGGAAATGGAGTAAAAGGGGCCGGGAGCAACGAGCCTGTGAGAGGTCTTTATCTCAAACCCTCATCAAAGGCTTTCCAGCACCATCCAATTTGTGGCCTCAAAAGTCAATTATACAGCAGCTGCCCCTCTCTCTCTCTCTCTCTGTCTCTCTCTCTCTCTCCATCTCTCCATCTCTCTGTATCTATCCCTCTACTTCGGCCGCAAGATACAAAGCACTAAACAACACGCTCCGTGATGATGCTCTTCGAGACGTCCCGAAGCCGCGATAAGGCGCTGCATCGAATGCAAATGATCGATCATTATAATAATAATAATAATAATAATCCTTGCATTTGGCTGAGCGCCGTATATTATAATAATATAATAATCTTCGCGTTTGACGCCGCGCCTTATCACGTCTTCGAGGCGTCTCAAAGCGCTTCATGGGAGACACCGTAAAGTGAATCGGCCGTGAATTTTGTATACTATACCCCGGTCTCTGAAGGCATCTGTTTGTCACTGCCCAGGTTGCTCATTAACCTGAACGACTCCCTTTGAATTAAACTCCCGTAGATCCCGTAGCTCAGTGGTTAGAGCCCCCACCTCGGAAGCGAGAGGACCCTGGTTCGGTTCCCGGGTCAGGGGGCGAAACATTGGGCGAGTTTTCTTACTCCACACACACATACACACACACGCACACGCACACACGCACGCGCCTCTGTTTACTCAGCGGTAAGTAGACCCTTCCCTGGTCGATCGTGCTTATGGTCATCTCTCCCCCCTCCCTCTCCCCCCCCCCCCCCCCCCCCCGGCTCAGGGACAGACTCTGCCACCGTCAAACACTCCGGGACACTAACCCCACATGACGGGCGCTATGTAAATGCGAGTTATTGTGGTTCCAGTGAAGAGATTGAAGAACAAGACAAGGAACAGCCGGTTGACAAATAAGTCTTTATTTATGACCCCACCTTCGCCATCGGGACCTTAAACGCCCCTGAAAGTTGATTTCTTTGGTCTGAAAGATCCTGAGTGTGTGTGTGTGGTGGTGGGTGGGGGTGGGTGGGGGGGGGGGGGGGCAGCGAGAGGGGCGAGAGGGGGATGGGGAGAAAGGGGAGCTGATCCCTTCGCCTCCCCACCCCACCCCCCCGCCCCCCCCCCCCGCGGTGATAAAGCTCTAAAACCAAGCATGGCGACAGAGTCAATCTGCAAATATATAATTATATATATATACGAGTTGCTGATATATACATTTTTTTGCTGATATATGTACACTATACACATCGTCTTTCCCCTTCGAAATAAATAACGATATAAAAAGTAGTGGATTTTGTGTTTCTTTGTTGAGATCAGTGGGCGGCAGAACGGGGAAGAGTTGGAGGGGGTTTTGGTGGGGGTGGGGGGAGTGCGGTTGGGGGGGGGGGGAGGTTTGAGCAAGGATGGAGGGGGTGAGGGGACTGGGAATGTCAGGTGGAAGGAAGGTACAATACGATACAGTAAAAAAAATTACATTTGCACAGCGGTCTTCACGTCGGGAGGACGTCCCAAGGCACTGGACGGTCAGGGCCTCGGAGGTGAGGATGAGGATTCGGAACTCTATCCGGTGGGGGATGGGGAGGCAGCCGGTGGAGCCAGCGAGGGTGGGGGGGTGACAGGATCACGGAGCCTGGTGTGGTGATTGGGAGGGGGTGGGGGTGGGGGTTAGGTAGGGAGGTGCGAGGGAACCTTGAAACCGATCCATTCGGTGATTGGGGGCCTGGCGTGTAGATTGATCCAACCAGGTCTCGGTTTTGGTTAGAAAAGTCTTTTAGACCAGGCTGGTCCAACTGGCGGCCCGCGGGCCGGATCCGGCCCCCAACCCCCATTGATTTCTTGGCCACTCTCCTTCCACCTTATCTGGCCCACTCGCTCCCTCCACAACCCACCCGTAAATGTTATGCTATGTCTCTGGAAGGGAAACACAAAAATATTGCTTATGCGGCCAGCAGACCCCCAACCCTCATCGGCCAAAAGGTTGGATCCCACCACCCCGCCCCCCCCCCCCCCCACCGCCACCACCCACCCCGTTTTAAATGGCAGATGGTGTGAACTCTTCAGTACCGCGGGAGAGCTGGCAGAACGGATTAAAGAATGGTTAGGAAACCGAAAGCCAAGGGTAGGAGTTAAGGGCATCTGCGAATAATAATAATAATAAATAATGATAATAATCCTCGCATTTGATACCCAGCCTTATCACGTCGTTCAGACGTCTCAAAGCGCTTCACAGGATAGACTGTAAAGTGAATTGACTGTATACTTTGCGGGCGAAACGCGGCAGTCGAATGCGCACAGCAGCGTCTCCCACAAACAGTGACCAATTATTATTGTTGTGCTTTTGTGTGAAGGGATTATTACCCCCCGGGAAAGCGATCCACCGACCTAACAACCGGGTTCCTGCTTACTGCTGGGTCAACGGTGTGTGTGTGTGCGTGTGCGTGTGCGTGTGCGTGTGTGGAGTGAGGAGCCTTGCCCGAGGTTTCGCTCTGTCAGGGAATCGAACCCGGGTCCTCTCGCTTGCCAGGCGAGCGCGGGAACCATTCCGCCGCAGGACTCCTCGTATCTTTCTGAAAAGACCAGCCTAGCAAAACCAGTCTTGCTGGATGGGGTGGGAGTTGGGTGAGTGGTTGGGTGGGTGGGAGTTTTGGTGGGTTGTTGGGTGGGTGCATGGGTGGTTGGGTGGGTGGGAGTTGAGTGGGTGGTTGGGTGAGTGGTTATATGGGTGAGTAGTTGGGTGGTTGGGTAATTGGGTGGGTGTAGGGGGGTGGGTGGTTGTGTGGATGGTGAGGGGGGCTGGGTAGGTGGGTGGGTTAGTGGGCACGGGAGGGTATGGGGTGGGTAAGTGAGTGTGTGGGGGGTGGGGGTTGAGTTGAAGATGAGATACGAGCTCTCTCCCAAATCCTCCTGCCCCCAATCCCCTCACGCTCACCCCCGACCCCTCACTCACGCCCTCACCCTCACCCTCACCCACCCACCTACCCCCACCAGTCTCTACTTGCAGGTGTGAACATCGTACACGCGGAGGCACTCCTGACAGCTGACGTAGCAGCACCAGTGAAAGACACAGAGGCACTTCTCCGTGCGTTCCTCAGTCCGCGTGTCGTGCCCACGCCCACAGCACAGGAGCTCGCACCCGTCGATGCCGTGCGAGCTGGCGTTACACACCCTCTGGCTGGTGCCGAAGGAGCCCGTGACCGTGTCCGGGTGGCAGAAGTTGGGCGAGGGCTGGTAGTAGATGAGGTCCCCTTCGGTGGGCGGCTTGAAGAAGCCGTACTTGGGCCTGAGGGTCTCGACCCATCCCCGAGACTCCCTGTGTTTCTCCACCACCATCTCGGACGCGCTGTCGTACTTGTCCTTCAGGTAGTCACCGATCAGCCGGAAGTCGGGCTGGGACCACCAGCAGGTCTTGACCTCACAGCTGCCCGACAAGCCGTGGCATTTACACTTCAACTCCATGTGCTCCAGGATCGCCTGGATAGCGAGGACACAGAAAGCCAAAGAGAGAGAGAGAGAGGTAAGGAGAGAGAGGGGGAGAGAGGGAGAGAGACGAGAGAGAGAGAGAGAGAGAGAGAGAAAATAGAGAAAGAAAGAGAAGAGAGAGAGAATAGGAGAGAACAGAGAGAGAAAGAGAAGCGAGTGAGAAGAGAGACGAAGAGCGAGAAGGAGAAGAGAGGAGAGGGAGAGAAAGAGAAAGAAGAGAGAGAGAGAGAGAGAGAAAGAAGAGAGAGAGAGAGAGAAAGAGACGGAGATCAACGACGCGCCAACGACCACAACTCCAACGAAGACCGCAGATACGTTCCGCGAAGCGTCTTGAGAGGTTCTCGCAGACCGTGATGAGGTGTCACGGCCGATGGCCAGGACTGTCCTCGTTATTGTTATTACAGTTATATCGCGCGCCGCCTGTCACGTGGCGCGGCGGTCAGAGCCCTCGCCTCGCCAGCGAGGGGACCTGGGTTCGATTCCCGGGCAGGCCCAGACGTTGGGCGAGTTTCCTCACTCCGCACACGGCTGGGGATGGGGGAGCAGTTGGGGCTGGGGGTTGGGGTGGGGTTGCGGGAGGGGCAGGGGCCTGGGGGGTGGGGCGGGGGCTTAAGGGACGGGGAGGGGCTGGGGCTGTGTGAGCGGCTGTGACGGGGCTGGAGGTTGGCGGTTGGGGGGTAGTTTGGGGACTGGGGTTGGGGCGGTGGGGGGTTTAGGTTCGACTGGGACTGGGGGGGGGCGGTTGGCGCTGGGGTGTGGGAGGGACTGGGGGGGGGGCTTTGGAGCGGGGCGCGGGGGGCGGGGGTGGGTGGGGGGGGGGGGTCACACTCACCACACGTCCGGCCTCGTTGTTGTGACGGTTCATGGCGGAGCGA